TAAAGTTTGCACATCTGACTATATTCCTACCGACGTCTTGATCAAACTGTACCAGGCCATTATCAAACAAATAGCAACTTACGCTTCCGATATACAGCAAAAAATTTGCAGTTGAAAAATGGGACAAAATTAATCAAAACCTATAAAAATATGCAAATCCATTTTGAATCAACCAGTCGACCAACCTTGGATGTATTGCGGAACTAGGAATTACCCACAATTCATAGCGAGCCGCCATTGCGGTAGGCCGTAAATGTAAACAAAGGGAAGCTTTCGTGCGGTCTATTGACTTGAGTATTGTATTTGTAGGCTATAGAGAGCGTTACGGCCAATCAACCCAAACAATGTCAACTACCTGTGCTGTTATCATCATACAAATCTGATAAGATCATCGAATATTTTGGCTGTCAGAAATGTTTCTGGAATAAACTGGCTGTTAAAAATAAAATCTTCTTTAACCGACAAAAAAACCGGTTTATCCCCCTCAAAAGCCCTATATATATCAAGCTTTGCTGCTCAAGGCATTGAATATTTCTTTTTAGATGAAGGGGTGGGATGTTTGCTCATCAATTGTTTTATACATTCTTTTCTTCAATGTTTTGGCTGACGTAAAATCAATTCTTCGAATCGGTTCATAACTAACACCAGTTCGAGAAGCTGGAACTGAAGCATCTAGTATGCCGGCTCTGCAGTAACTGTCGCCGCTTCTCTTATCCGTACACTGGCTTCAAGGTAGAATAATACCGACGCCACATGGGAACAAGATTCACCTAAACCTCCCTTACAATCTCAGTAAGCAGACAAAATTTTTCCATTTTCTTCAATGATGACCCAGGGTGCCAGAGATTTATCATTTAACTTCTTTTAACGTTGGACTATTTGAGACGCCATGTAGTCTGAACATCTAAAGATAACACGTGTCGAAGTAGTGGCTACGTGCAATTTTATCCTTTGATCTGTTCTATCACTGGCAATCCTGTTATAGTGAAACCAACATGCATGCAAATGACTATACAGTGTATTACAAGTGTATGACACCAAGTCAGCTCAGTCTGGGATAAGTCTATGCGGTCGAGGATATACGACTTTAAATTTCTCCACAAGATAATTCTTTTTGTGAAAAAAAAAACCGTTACAATAGACATAGTGTTTTATTTATTTCTTGTGATAATAATTAAAAATAACTGGAAACGATATGGATTTATTTTTTACTTACAAAAATACAAACACGGTAAGCATTTCTTTCGTTGTATTTTATTACTTGACGATAAACATGTGGTAGTAAATATATCAACTCTTTACACATGCTGTTTAACTAAATAACTATAATATAATGAAATTACGGTCAATATTCACAATAATCCAAGGCCGATATACCGAAGTTGTAACTGTAGGCAAAGAACGTGGGTGCCATTTATTATATACGTTTAGTGTTCAATTACATCATTGATAGTATTTGTTTATCAAACAGCCTACCAGAATGGTCTCGCGCGAGGAATTGTGGGAAATGATACAAAAATTAGAAACATTCCCGGAACCCTCTATACCCGCATGATGTATCATAAAAGGCTAAACGATGTTAGGATGAAACAAATATTTCTTCTACTTTCAGCAGCCTATACTGAAGATAAAAAATGAAAAATTATCTTGGTCAGCCGCAATCAATAATTTAACTTCGAAACTCCAAATAAATCATGTTCATTTGCTAAATAAAGACAATATAAAGAAATCCCTCGATTCAAAATTTAACTCCTTCTACCACATATCTTCTAACTCCAATAACAGCAAATTACGTACATATTTCATCTTAAAACCTAGCTACTGTTACCAACTCTCCAGACTATTTATATTCGGTTAAAAATAGAGATCATAAGAAAGCTATGACCACACTTAGACTCAGTACGCATCACTTAGAATTAGAGAGGGGCCGATAAAAAAAATTCCTGTTGATCAGCGTCTATGCAAATTTTGCGATTTAATTCGACCGAAAACGAGCAACATTTTTTGCTATACTGTAGCAAGTATGAAGAAATACGCCAAGCCCATATATACCCAGCCTTCTCGACAAGTCCTAAGATTTCCTACAATTTTATTAATCTCTTTACACCACCAAAATTGATTGCCAAGGCAGTGGCTTTATATGTGTTTTTGGCTTTTGATAAGAGAGCTAAATCAAATTTGGTGGCAACTACATGTAACTGAAACCCCTTCCATTCACTTGATTTGATATTTGTTTATTTGGTGCAATGTCTATTTTCTGTCTTGTCCGCAGGTTTATCTTGTAGATTTTTGTTTTGCGTGTAGTGCGGTCCTCCTGCACTTACTATTTGATATACATGTACAGTTGTACATGTAGTATACTGTTTGTATGAATGTATTGAGTTGTCTATGTAATATGTATTATTGAATGTATATGACTATGTCTAAGCTGGCCGTCTATAAGATCTAGCCGTCTATAAGGATTCTAGCCAACGATAAGCAGAATTCAAGCTAGCCAACTATAAGAAATTCGCTGGACGACCGTGACTGCAATGAAATCACGTGATTGGTATGGCTAATCCGTGCCTTCGACAAATAAGATAAATTGAAAGTATAGTCTATTTTTATACGCCCACATTGAAATGTGGTCGTATATTGTCGTCGCCCCCGTCCGTCCGTCGGTCCGGCGTCCACAATTGCTTCCGGACGCTCTAGGGGCTAAAGTTAATATCCGATTGACTTTAAATTTATATACAGTGTTTAAGGTCATGAGACGAAGAAGCCTATTGATTTTCAGCGACTTCCGATAATTACTGCCAGAGTTATGGCGCTTGATCACTTCAAAAAATCTTGTGGACGCTCTAGAGGTCAAAGTTAATACCCGATTGACTTTAAATTTATACACAGTGTTTAAGGTCATGAGACGAAGACATCTATTCATTTTCAGCGATTTTCAATAATTACTTCCAGAGTTATGACCATTGATCACTTCAAAAATCTTGTGGACGCTCTAGAAGCCAAAGTTAATATCCAATTGACTTTAAATTTATACACAGTGTTTAAGGTCATGAGACGAAGACATCTATTCATTTTCAGCGATTTTCAATAATTACTTCCAGAGTTATGACCATTGATCACTTCAAAAATCTTGTGGACGCTCTAGAAGCCAAAGTTAATATCCAATTGACTTTAAATTTATACACAGTGTTTAAGGTCATGAGACGAAGAATCCTATTGATTTTCAGCGATTTCCGATAATTACTGCCAGAGTTATGGCCCTTGATCACTTTGAAAAATCTTGTGGACGCTCTAGAGGCTAAAGTTAATATCCGTTTGACTTTAAATTTATACACAGTGTTTAAGGTCATGAGACAAAGGAGCCTATTGATTTTCAGCGATTTTCTATAATTACTGCCAAAGTTATGGCCCTTGATCACTTTGAAAAATCTTGTGGACGCTCTAGAGGTCAAAGTTAATATCCGATTGACTTTAAATTTATACACAGTGTTTAAGGTCATGAGACGAAAACGTCTATTCATTTTCAGCGATTTTCGATAATTACTGCCGAGTTATAGCTCTTGCTCACTTCAAAAAAAAAAACTGTAAATGCTCTAGAGACCAAAGTTAATATCCGATTGACTTTAAATTTATACACAGTGTTTAAGTTCATGAGGCAAAGAAGCCTATTGATTTTCAGCGATTTTCAATAATTACTTCCAGAGTTATGGCCCTTGATCACTTCAAAAATCTTGTGGACGCTCTAGAGGCCAAAGTTATTATCCGATTGACTTTAAATTTATACGCAGTGTTTACGGTCATAAGACGAAGAAGCGTATTCATTTGCAGCAATTTCCGATAATTACTGCCCTTGATCGCTTTAAAAAATCTTGCAGATGCTCTTGTGGCTAAAGTTAATATCCGATTGACTTTAAATTTATACACAGTGTTTGAGGTCATGAGACAAAGAATCCTATTGATTTTCAACGATTTCCGATAATTACTGCCAAACTTATGGCCCTTGATCACTTTGAAAAAACTTGTGACGCTCTAGAGGCTAAAGTTATCATCCGATTGACTACAGATTGATAATTACTTCATTAGTTGTTACTCTTAATCAGATTTTAGTGTATTATAAATGTTTCATTACCAAAAAAAGTAAAAAATATGCGACAACACTTGTTGACTGCCCGGACGATTTAGCTGCTGTGGGCGTATGTTTCGTTGCCTGGCAACCTATCTTTAGTAATTAGGTTACTGTTGGGCAGCGACCTATTATTTTCGACAAAACAACGAGAATTTTTCTCTTATAAAGTACGTAATCATGAATGTGCCAGGAAATAACTGATAGATCCAAAGAGCGATAGAAACATACTTTCTAGTGATGTATGACTCTGTAACTGGAATTTTGTATTAAGATCCGTATTTTAACATTTTAAACACTCGCCACCCCCCACCCCCCTCTCTCTGTAAGTGTAACTAGAGTTTAGCAGGCCTGGAGACTAATTAACTTTGATCCATTTTGAAACAAAAAGTATACATGCACTGTGCGCAACAAATAATGGATATAATTAAAGAGAGCCATAACTATTTTATACTTTTCAGTATAGATATACGTAATTTTGGATTAACCCCCGCACCCGCCCCCACCATCCCAACCAATCCTTCACTTCAACTTATGAAAATATGAATGTGCCAGAAAATTATTTACATATTTGAAAAGAGCAATGTACGTGCGTTTCACTGATATGTAAGATCATATCTGGAATTTGGTATTAAGACACGTATTTTTACCTTGACCCCCCCCCCCCGTAATCACGGTAATAGAGTTTAGTACCACTCAACTTTGATCGTTCTGTAAGGTAACTAAATATGAATGTGCCAGAAAATTATTTATTACCTATTACCTATTTATTACCTTTTACGAACTAAATGGTATTTTAGTAAAATGATTTCATTTTTTGTTCTCAAGGGATTCACCATAATGAAGACATCGAGACAAGTCGACATGAGCTCAAGTCTACTGCAGTTCCAACCATTTTTCCGAGTCATCCGAAGTATTTACAACCATCTAAATCTAGGAATCCACCTAGGAAAAGAAATTTATGTGATGACGATGAATCGACCCAGCCGATTCCACTAAAGCGCATTTTTCTAGAAGAACATGGATATGCTTTAACACATGAAAATTTGAAAGAACAGTTGACGGAAACCAAAAGTAAACTTGAACACAAAAGAAAAGAATTGAAATCAGTTAAACAGAAAGTAAAGAGAAGAGAACAGAAGATCAGCCATCTTTTAAACGAAATTAAAAACAACCAATTAATAACTTCTACAGAATTTGATTTATTGAACTTAAACTTTGGTGAAAAAGCATTTCAGCTATTTGAACATGAACTTATAGCAAAAGACGTCAGTAAACATGGTCTACGCTACTCAGAGGAATTGAAAAAATTTGCAGTAACTCTACATCTTTACAGCCCCCAAGCATATGAGTTTGTTAGACAGTACCTTCACTCACCCCATTCTGCTACAATTGGGAAATGGAGTTCCAGTTTAAATTGTGAGCCTGGATTCTTAACAGAAGTTGTACTGCACTTGAAACAGATGATAGAGAAGAGGCCAGCATTAAAGTATTGCACGGTCATGTTTGATGGTATGGCGCTGAAGAAAGAGACAGTCTATGACCCAAAGTCTGGAAAATATTCAGGGTTTGTGGACAGTGGGAATTTTCAACCATCCAGTAGCGACAGTTTAGCAACAAAGGCACTTGTTTTTATGGTAGTCGGTTTGTCCGGACACTGGAAATTTCCTGTTGCTTACTTTTTGACTGACCATTTGTCTGGGAACACACAGAAAGAAATACTTAAACAGTTAATAATTATTTGAACAGAAAACGGTTTGGTTGTTAAATCTGTGGTCTGTGATGGTTCCTATGCCAATCAAATGACAGCCAGTCTAATGGGATGTTCACTTCAGACCGAAAACTTACAACACTACTTTCCACATCCATCTGATGCCACTGATAGAAACCATTATATTTTCGATGCCTGTCATTTAATCAAACTTGTGAGAAATAGCTTTGCTTCATCTCGGGTATTCTTTCATGAAAACGAAGAAATTTCCTGGAAATATTTAGAAAGACTTAATGAAATCCAACAGAGAGACAATTTGAACATCGCTAATAAGTTAAAAGCGAAACACATTGAGTGGCATCAGCATAAAATGAACGTAAGATTAGCCGTCCAGACGCTCAGTTCGTCAGTTGCCGATGCTATAGACTTTTTGAGACACGATCTTTGCTTGCCCTATTTTACAGGTAGTGAGAAAACAACAGATTTCATTCGAAAGATGGACATGTTATTTGACTTTATGAATTCCAGATCACCTTGTGGCAAGGGATACAAGCGTCCAATGAATTTGAATAATTTTTCACATCGTAAAACCATGCTTTTAGAAATAACAAGCTACATGGCCAATTTGAAAGATAAAGATGGGCAATATCTGTGCAAAGGGCGAAAAAAAACAGTTTTTGTTGGTTTTATGATCAGTATTCAATCTGTTCTTGATATAACTGAACAACTCCTTAAAATGCCATCACCTTTTAGGTATGTTTTGACTTATAAGATGTCCCAATACCATCTAGAGATGTTTTTTAGTCGGGTGAGAAGAAGAGGAGGGTGGAACAATAATCCAAATTGTCTTCAGTTTAAATGGTCTTTGAGGTCGATTTTAATGAAGAATTCTATCATGCCTTCAAAAAATGCCAATGTTGCGTTTTTAGAACCTACTATGGAGTTATTTGATGACTCTACACCCGCTGCTGTTCACCATACAAATGGGCAAATGTTAAAATTCGCTAATCTTTTGTCGAGTTCTTCGGAGTACCCCGACCAAGTCTTGCATTACATGTCGGGATACATAACTAGAAATGTTATTAAAAACTGTACCTGCCTAGTTTGTTGTGTTATACTTCAAAGTCAAACCGGAACAGTTTCTAAATTTGGATCATTAACAGTACGTAAAGACAGAGGAGGTTCGATTTACGCCCCAGATGATATTTTTACAGTTGTGAAAACAGCAGATAGGATTATTAGGTACAAATTACAATTGATGATATTTTTAATTTTCATTTTATTGCTGTTTTTTCATACTATGGTCGGGCAGTCCTCAATGACTGAATAAATGAATCCGGTGTTCGATCCCCAGAAAATACATCGGGCTTTTCCAGCGGAGATTTCCCTTGTCAGTGGTGCAGACGGAGTGTCTGGCAAGGTACAGTGTCTAGTCGTTCGGATGTGACGAAAAATCGGCATGCACGTAAAAGAGCCTTTAAATTAAGTGGAAATCGCGATATAAAGAGTAGGCCGTACCGCCGCTGTTCGGGCAAAATTTCCCTCATAGTGCACTATGTGGTGTATGCCCGTCTTCATTAGCCCGGTTGGTGCAGAACAGTAGGACGTTAAACCCCATTTCATTTCATAAATATTTTTTTCGTTCTGGAAACATATTTCCTTTATTGTTGTTGTTGTTCTAAAACATTTCTATACAGGCCATTAATTTCTCTTCACTTTTCAGTTCCATAATTTCTCAAAATAAATAAATATAGCATTTTCCGTTTTAATCCAGTTTCTTAATCAATAAATAAATAGATAAATCAATAAATAAACTGTTTTAGGAGAAGTTTACTTGAGTCAACTAATCCTTTGGCAACTAACAACAACATCATAAGACAGATTCAAGCAGAAATATTAACAACAGTCAGAGGGAAACATTTTCTCGATTTTAATGATCACTTTATGGAGACCGATTTCGCTGAAGACGACCATTTTGGCCAGCTTGTTAATAAGCTATCTGGCCTATTCTGCAAAACACTCCTCCATCATCATGGAAGACTTTACACGGAAAGATTTATTCTTGAAAACAAGGGTCAAAAAGGCACAAGCTGACGAAGACCGTCCTGTTTTTAGGACAGTAAGGTAAGATTTCAATTTATATATTTTATTTATTTGTCATATTTACTGTGGAATATACATTCGGGACATAATTTAAAATATCAATAATGGAAATTAAATTGAAAGTGAAAGTAGAGTACGAGATCGCTGACAATGACATGTCACTTTTCATTCCATAATTTTCTAAAACAAATTAACAAATGAATAAATAAAAATACAACATTTTCTGCAGGCTGTTTTTAGTTTCTCTTCCCTTTTCAGTTCCATAAATTTCTAAAAATAATTTACAAATAAATAAATACCGTTAAATAGAAATACAACATTTTACGTTGGCTATTAATTTTTCTTCACTTTTCATTCCCTAATTTCCTAAGATAAAATAATTAACAAATAAATAAAAATACCGCTGCGGGCTATTGATTTCTGTTCACTTTTATTGTTAAAAAAAAAACCCATTCATTTCTCTACACTCTTTATTAATTAGTTCCATAAATTTCTAAAACAATTTAACAAATTTACTGTATAGGAATACATATTGTGGACATTGCACTAATTTAAAAGATCAATATTTTAATAAAAATTAAAAGAAAAAGCGAAGGTAAAGTATTTATTAGTACTGTAGAGACACTGCGGTCGAGATGCCTGACATGTCAAATTAAATTGTTCTATAACCTTTACGTGGAAAGAGGGGCCCGGAGATAAGTCGGTCCATGGATCTTTATTATTATTTTTATCAAACAATAAATATTTGGGTGAGATAATTTAAAAAATTAATATTTGTGCACGTTTTAAAACAGTTTGACACAGATTGATTGATGCGATAACATAGTGAACATCCGGGTATTTACGTTCATACTCCCCGGAACTAACATGGCGGCCGTCGCTCCATTCCGGCACAAACCTTTAACGTTGTAGTCATGGGAGTCACGTGATCAGTGCGGACTCTAGTTTCTATATATAACTCTATGGGTAGAATAATAATACCATAGCCTTATGTACATACACATTAGCCAATCAGATTTCGTGTCTACGTCTTCAGAGTCTAATGACGTAGGCTGGCAGTTTTAGGCGCGATACGACATCTTGAACCAGATTATTAGAAGAGTACTGTACGAATTTACCTGTATAATACGGTGGCTGATAAGGGACATGAAAAATAATATAATTTTGTTTTTTATAATTTTCACCCAAGTCAATTTTAATTTTCACCCAAGTCAATTTTAATATAATTTGTTTTTTTTATAATTTTCACCCAAGTCAATGTTAATATAATTTGTTTTTTATAATTTTCACCCAAGTCAATTTTAATTTTCACCCAAGTCAATTTTAATATAATTTGTTTTTTATAATTTTCACCCAAGTCAATTTTAATGTAATTTGTTTTTTATAATTTTCACCTTAGTCAATTTTAATATAATTTGATTTTTATAATTTTCACCCAAGTCAATTTTAATATAATTTGTTTTTTTTATGATTTCCACCCAAATCAATTTTAATTTTCACCCAAGTCATTTGTAATATAATTTCAATTCTGTTGAATTTCCACCCAGCGCGTGACGTCATCTCAATTAGCCTCGTTTCCAATGTAATGTATTATGTTTTATTTTATATGGTTCTCATACTGCAATTAGCAGATTGCAATGTATTATGTTTTACCTTATATCAAATAGATATTTTATACGCCCATATTTTCATATGGACGTATATTGTCGTCACCCCTGTCCGTCCGGACGTCCATCCATAATTTGTTAGTGGACACTATACAGGTCACAATTCGTATCCGATTTTGACGAGACATGAAATATAGGTTTATCTCCAAAAGATCTAAGTTCCTTTCGATATTGGCATGTATCGGATCGAAACTTCATGAATTATGGCCCCTGATTGTACGAAAAGTCACTTTTTTAGCGTGTGGACACTCTAGAGGTCACAATTATCATCTGGTTTCTTTCGATATTCGCACTTATCGGATCTTAACTTTCTGAATAACGACCCTTGATTGTACAAAAATCTCGTTTTTAGCTTGTGGTCCCTCTAGAGGTCACAATTTGTATCCGATTTAAAAAAAAAAACGTTTGAATATA